CAGATGCATGTGTTTTGGCAACGCATGCTGGGCAAGAATTGGCCTAGAAGCATTTCAGAATAGCTTGTTGAACTGTTCTTTATTAGTGGTTTTCCCTCTGCGGGAGTGTGTATTGTCACATGTTGTTTTATTAAGGTCAGTTCCAAGCTCTGTACATTGAGTAAATCCATGACAAGACAAGATGCACAGATAGTACACTAGGATGTGACAGCTGCCTGAAACTCCTGCAGTCACACTGAATTGTTCAGGATATGTTTACACACCAGCAAAGTTGTAACCACAGATTGCCTAAATTTGTCCAGTGTTATCAATGTCAGTATGTTTGGAGTGCATTTCTGAATAAAGTCTTAGATCTAGTTTAAATATAAATGTCTAAATCTGAATTTTGGCTCTTAAATGGTGGTGGTTTGGCTTTGAAGATGTTAAGCATGTTGAACGACATTTGACTTTATCCATCACTACTGGAAATCACATTATTTCTGTTACATGTAAATAGTGTAGATCTCCAGCTCACCTTTTTCTGCACCAGTACTAACTGCCGAAAGTGGATACAGTTATGTGATGTATGCAAAAAAATGTTTTATACTGGGGGTGATGGAATATTGGCAAGCATTGGTTGCATAATTGAAGATGAGGTGTGGTGTTCGCATAAGTGCTGTGAAACCTGATTGTGAGTTGAGGAGAAAAAGGACTTCTACTGCCATTTAATTTGTTGCTGGGTTTTGTGCATTTGCATTGGTGGTATTTCATAAATAGTATTTTAAACTGTTTCACAAGAAATCTGTCATTCACAAGAAATCTGTCATTTTTTTAACTGTGGGGAATGGACTGGGTAAAGGTGGCAAGTCTGTAGAGATGTGAAAGATTTCATTCAGCAGCAGCTGCGCATGAAACTCACTATGCCAGTGGTTGCACAAAACCACTTCTCTGTTCTCTGTTAAGTGCATTGCCCATAAATTCTTTCCCTTCTGGAGAATAAAATTAACATAACTCCAGATAGCTAATATTTTTATGTGTAGGGACCATCAAGTTTATGAATGCACAGACTGTCATGCTTATGAGTGCACACATCATGGAGTTTATAAGCAGAGGCACATAACAGTTATGCTCACAGCACATAAAGTTTATCTCTTGGTATATAAAACTCAGTTATGAAAAACAAAAGCTGAAAAATTACTTCAAACACGGTTTTTTTCACCCTTCCAACCTATATGTCATAGCAGGTCTTTTCACAATAAACTTCAATTGAATTCTGTATGTATTGACAAAGGAGTTTTTTAAAGATACTGCCTCAGGTATGTGAAATTGGACTACTATAGACAAATTTCAGGCAGAACTTGATTTTGAAGACTTCCAGTTAAAAATTATAACAAAGCTAAATGAAAAGCATACAGAAAATTCTAAGTGCCTAAAAACTAAATTGTGAATGCTTATATAAAAATTCCACTATCTTCAGGGAAAATCCCCAACCAACTAATTTTTCAGCTGTTTTTTTTAACACAACCCTATCTTTGCTGTAGCCAAGATGTGTCTGTAGTAGTGTAAGTATATAAAAAAAGTAATGTAACATATCCATTCTTTAAGTTTATTCTAGATGTATCAATATCGAATGTAAATCCCATATCTGACACCTAGAAGTGTGAATTACTACATTTTCTGAAGAACTAGACTATATTTATTTAATAAAATACTAATTACACAGTGCCAATTGTATACGTGGGAGATTTATAAACAAACAGCGCTCAAATTTACACACGTGCTTTATATCTGGAATGGACAGAGTGTACAGTTTTCTTTCCAATGTGAAATGGAGTACAGAACACTGTGTTACTTAGCTCTTCTGTTTTATAATTACTGACTCTCCCTTCCTGGTACTTAACTACTCTGAATACTACTCTTAATTGCTAGGTTAATGCCAGTGGCCAGTGAACAGAGCACGTACATCCCCAATACACTGAGAAGCCAGCTACCCTGATCGAATGTTCAACTAGATTTAATAAGAAGTCATATTTGAGTTGTGCTATGGGAACTTATTCAGTTTTTATTAAATTCATCAGAGTCCTAATATTACAAAACATCATAGGATGTACTAAGATGTAAAGCAAGGGCTGTTAATAGTAAGCCAAGAAAGCACAAGAGCAGTACTTGTCAAAAGAAGCCTGAGATCCAAGGCTTGTCTTACAGACACTACTTCTGCTGAGTCTGAAACTCGTGTCTGCTTCATCTAACACTATCACCTCCTATGCGCCAGAAATCTTTTTTTCCCTCATTTGTACCTATCTGCTTGCCCACAGTAACCCTGTTCCTTGTCCTCTCACATTCAGTGAGAGATCTGTCTCCTCTGGACATCAGCAGCAGCAACGCTGAAGAGACAGAAGAGATATTCTCCCTGCCGGACATGCGGGTGCCCAAAACTCAGAAGCCACCATGTGCCGGAGCAAGCAACTTCAGTTAGCCCACTGCTGTATTAATCAGAGAAGCAGGAACTCTGGGGAATTTAGCAAAGTTTCTACTGTGCATAGGCAACTGTGATTCTTTAGACATTCATCATTTTGCTTGGTGAGGATAATAAGGAGGATTGTCTTCTTAAGCCCTGGGGTGAGAACGAAGACCCAGTTTCAAATAGGCCCCAAAGCCAGTGTTCAATAAGCCTGGCACTGAATATAATCGATTTAGATACATGGTATGTAGTCACTGAGACCAGACTCTCTTGTACGTGTGATGCAGAATCATATTCTACACATGTGGAATAAGTTGGGTGTCTTGGACACGCTGTACTTGCATGCATGGTGGTCAGTCTTGTGCACTCGTAAGATTTGGGGTAAACCTGCAAGGAACGGAAGGAAATATTCTCTCTGACACCAAGGCAGCACCTGTATTGATTATGAAAACCTAGTTCTAGGGAATTGAGGTTTCAGTTAAAAGTCTAAGGGTTTTATAGAAATGTCAAAGAACTTATTTCCTCCTAACTTCATTCTGAGAAACAGCTAAAACCTTTCTAGCCTTGTTTTTTGAGTTTTGGGGTGGTTTGGGTTTTTTGTTTGTGTGTGTGTCCAGAACATTCAGGCTGAGGCAAACATCCAACTAATCCTTGTTTGTTTGTTTGTCTGTTTTCCATTGTTTATAGGTTTGCCAAGCTTTAACTACTTGGAAGAAGTTTTCTGTTCTGGGTGTTGCTTCAGGCAGATTTTTAGTTTCTCTCATTTTTTAAAATTTGTTTTTTAAAGGGGAAGGAATAGGGAGAATTTGGGTTTATTTTGAAAAGGGTAATATTTCAGTTTGGGAAATTTATAAGCAACTGCAAACCAAATGCAAGTTTAAAACACTGAAAACAGCAGCAAAAATATTTTAGCTGTTTTTCACAAGAAATAGGTTTTTGTTGTCTTTTGCATGTTGCTTTTCAGGGCAGTAAAATCAGTGTATAATAAATTATGGTAAATATCCTGTGTCATTAATTTTTACTCAAACCCCAGATGGCCCTAAGCATCATCTAGTCCTTAGCCAAAGAGACAACAATATACAAATTTTTTAGAGGCAACAGACAAGTGTTGCTGTATGTGTTCCACAGCAGAAAAAAAAAAAAAAAAAAAAAAAAATTGCTTAAAGGTTACTTCTGAATTAGGGAAGTTTTCCAAGCATTTGTTGTTCTTTGTCCCAACAGAGTATCATAAACTACAAAAACAGAAAACAGGACTTTCTGCAGTAGCTTCTAGTTGTATCACAAAATTCTGTCTGTGACTTTGCCACAGTTAGCTCTGAGACAAAGGGTGTTGAGTCACTGCTTCTTCAGAGCCGACAGAAGCACCTTATGGTTTTGATATGACTGCCAAAGTACATCTTACTTTACGTGTTTCATTTTATGGTATAGTAAGATTTAAAAAAAAAAAATGTTTATTAACTTATTCGGAATTAATCATATTTCTAGTCAAGTGCTCGTTGTCTGACACAGATTTTACGTACCTGTGGTACACAGATTACACTTAAATTCTAGAGTTTAGATACCACTGATGGAGCCGTCAGCCCTTCCTAGCTGCCTAATCTAAGTACAGTCACCTTTCCAGTCCTCTATTTATGTAGGAGAGACATAGGGGCCTGGACCTACCACCTCCAAAACGTCACAGCATTTACAACAGAAACATCAAATACAGAAGACAAGATTATGAAAAGTTAGAACCAAATAATCCTTTAAGGCCATTACTAAGGGTGTAAGGTAACTTTGAGATGCAAGTAATCAGTACTACAGCAGCTTGATATTCATATAGTACTATGAACAATTTTAGCTATAGATCACCCAGAATGAGTAGTGATTTTTACTGCATCAATATAGGTATTTAAATATTTGTGGCAGAAAAATACTTATTTGATTTTCTTCAGACATAGATTGTTTTCTTTCCTTAATGGCCCCACAAGCCAAATTGAATCTTTTGCATTATGATTGTGTGACATTTCAACTGATGACTAATGGAAAATGTATTCTCCTTCATGCTATATAAGTCAAAAATAACTGATTTTGCTTAAGTTTCCCAATAACTCTCAAGTTGAAACAAAGCACACAAAAGCTCCAGTTCAAAAGAATTTCCTCAAATGATGAAAAAGGGAGACTAGAAAGTCAACTACAACCTTAGCTAATATAGTTCAATGCAGCAAGCATTATCATCTGGTGAACGTGCAAACAGTTGAGGTAAGATGAGCATCTTTGATACAGTCTGTTTTCAGGTTACCTTTATGCAGTGAATAAAAAGGTTTAAATTCAGGCTGCATTGAAGTATTATGCCATGTTCTACCATACATCTAAAAGGAGAGAAGTTCTGAGTATACAAGGGGAGGAAATTACATTTTCTTCCTCTCATCTGATGGTCATGCTCCCTCTTTGCATCACTACCTCCCACATTTGCATTCCTGTCTTTTCTGTTTCTCACAATGGCAGTGGCCACCTGAAAAAAAAAAAAACAAACCAAAAAACAACCCAAAATGTTTTTCACAATTCTTGGAGATTTTCCTTTCCTTTTTGGAGAAGGATTTTGAGGCGGCTTCTCCTCCTACAAGGAGGTAACCTTTCTGCCACTATGCGCTCTTTCTTTCTTTTCTTGCTTTCTAAGTTCTCTCCCTCTGCTCCATGATACGCCTTTGCAGCTAGTAGCTGTCCCGCTCATCACCAGCAGAACTCTCAGACACCAGCATGGCCACCCTGCAGAGGGCTGGTGTTAGGTATTTACACATGGGCGACCTACTTCACCGCCTAACTGGTTTTGACACTATTTTCCAGCTATATGGATTAAGATTTTTTTCTTCCTGAAGTCATCAGTCTTTCTCTAACCTTTCATGAGTCTGAATCATGTCATAATAGTAAACTTCATGGCCTCTTAATCTGCTCTTCTACAGTATTTGCATGAAGAACTACTGTATTTGGAACTTAAAACTTCTCTAGCCTGGCATCTGGTTTCCAGCAACAGCCAACAGAGGATGCCCAAGGAAGAGCTTACAAACAAGGTAAGCATGTTGTCCCCAAGCACTCCTGGGCCCAGTAATATCTGGTTTGGAGGCTTCTGCAGTGTGGACAGTGAGTGAAATTTTCTTAACAGTCCTTACATTTAATGGACTTTTCTTCTGTTAGTTTATTTGGTTGGGTTTATCCTCCAAACCTTTAGCATCTTTGTTAAAGAATTTCGCCAGCCCTTGGGTATCTCTAGGCTTGCTTTCTTAACAAGTCAGAGTTGGGCCATCACCTCAGTGAGTGGCAGCAGCTAACAAAAAGCGCCCTCTATATATGATTCTACACAACATAAAATACAAAAAGTCTTCGGTGTTTTCCCAGGAACTCTCAGCTCTTAATTCTTCATCCATTTCAAAAGGCCATTATATTCCACAGTTTCAGCTAGTTCTCATCATTCTGTTCCAATTCTTCTGATGCCACTGCTCACTGATGCAGTCTTTGGTCATCATGGTTACTTATCTTCTTAAACAATCTTCATCATAATTCACCTTCTGAGAAAAGACTGAAAATGTTTTATTTAACATATACTTAATCTATGTCTAGCTTTTAGTTACCTAGCCTTTCTAAATTGATTACCCCAAGTTAATAACTTATTTCTTACCTTTTGTTATGTCTAAAACTTAATACTCAAGATTGATTTTTAGTAATTCAGCTTGACTGGGTTTTAAGCCAGCCATGATGAGGGCTCTACAGGAGACAAATGAGCAGTATTTGCATTGAACTGTCAGTATTGTTCTTAAGAGGACCTGTATCCTATTAAGTTAACCTATAAAACAATATCTATTTATTAATTATTCCTGCTATTAATAATATCCTAAAAGAGTTTTCTAAAATCTTGTTCCTTTTACAATCCTACAGTATCTTGCTGCAAAGATTTCCACAGCTTAAAATGATGTAGAGAACCCATCTTCTTGTTTTCAGCATGCTTCCTAATAGCTTCATTAATATTCTTAGTACTCACATTGGAAAAAGACAGTGTCTCCATCTTTTCTGTGTCATTGGTGGTTTTGTAGACCTCTGTCATATCTCCCCTCAGTCATCTGGTTTTCAGAGTTAAGGGCCCTCACACAGGACCATTCTGTTTCTTTGGTTATCCTTGTCAAATCTTTTCTGAATCATTTCCAGTTCTATTATGCCCTTTTTGATATGTGAAGAACTGTACATATTACTAAATATGCAGAGAACTATGGATTGATACTGGGGCGGATGTGTTACCATGTTCTCTGTTTTGTTCCAAATATTTGTATTTCTGAGTAAAAGGGAACATTGTGCTGATATTTTCATAGAAATATTAATCAGAACCCAAAGATCTCATTTGTGAGTGGAAAACCAGCTTTCAGCCCATCCTTGTACATAGAATGTTTTTTTCATGTGCACTACTTTACTCAACTATATCAAATTTGATTTGCTGTTTTATTATCCAGTCACTCAGTATTGTAAGGTCTTTCTTCAGTTCTTCACAGTCAGCCCTTTAAATGCATCACAATTTGTCCTCTAACTTTCCTTTACCTGAATAGCTTAATATCATTAGCAATCTGTGATATCTCACCGCTCACCCTCTTTTTCCAGATCATTTATGAACACATTAAGCAGCACAAGTCACAGCACAGGTCCCTGCAGACTCCTCTTGTGATCTCCCTCTCCTATGAAAACTGACCTTTTATTTCTGTTTCCTGTCATTTAGCCATTTTTTGATCCATTCCTCTTGCTTTTTGTTGCATAAAGGCACTTGTTTGTTTGTTTGTTTTTCAAATGAAGCTTTGTCTAGGAACTTCATTGCCCTGGAAATCCTGGTAACTCTTAAACATGAGATCTCCCCGTCCACATCAAAGAATTAACATCACCAAAGAATTATAGATCTGCAACACTTGACATAATGCAACAAAAGCTGTATTGTCTTCCTTGATATGTCATATTTATATATGTGTCCAGTGATTCTGCTCTGTAGGACAAATATTAGTTAGCTGGTCAGCACAGACAACACATGAGGCTCATTTGTGTGTAGTTGCCTGGGTCTTCATGTCTGCCTTCCCCACCTGGTTAGCAGGGGAAGGGTTACACACTGCAGTTAGTACTTCAGCTTTTTGACACCTGAGTTCTCTTAGAACTCCTGGATGGAGGCCACCTGGTCCCCAAGATGTCTGACTTATTTCATCTGTTCCCTAACCTTTTCTCCTCTGCACTTGCATTTGAGGTAGATCTGCTAAATTCCCCATAATGCAAAGTTCTGGCATGGATTTCTCTAAGCTGTTGCACTGTGAACACAGATGCTAGAACATGAATGTAGTCTTTTCTCCTATGCTCTCGCTTTCTCTGAGTGTTCCTTTTACACCTTAATGGTCTACAGGCCCTACCCACTCCATGGCAAGCCTCCTGTTCCTGATACTTCTGGAAAAGGACTTGGGTTTTATTTGTTTTTTTTTTCCATGCCTTTGCAAGTCATTCCTCAAAATTCAGTTGTGATCTGCCTTACTGTGTTAATGTGCCAGAATTTACCCATCTGTTTTCTACATTTCCAAAACAGTTCCCAAAGGATACCTTATTGCTTCTGATAACCTCTCTTACCTTGTGGTTTATGCATGCTTGCTTCCTATTCTTCTATTTCTTTCTTCATATGTTCTGAGAAGCTGGAGTATCCCATTATTAGCAAGATGATGAAAAATAGGTTTCTCTTGAATACCAGAGAATAGGCCTAAAGGCCAGAATTTACCTTGCAGAAGAGTTACTTTCCATCTTCCCATCAACAAAAATTTTCTTCTCCACACTGAAAGGATTCTTTTTCCTCTCATGTTCTTAGTCAATGCCAAGTCCTGCTCAACCAGCAGCTGAGGATCTGTCTCTGTAATGTTGAAAGAGATCTAAAACTAACATGTTTTTTAAGAAGAATCTTATACATGTAATTGCTTTATTGCCTTTGAAAATTATTAGATAACTTTACTGTGTACGTGTGTGTCTGTATGAAAGTTAAAAATAATTTCCATACTATCCCTTACACCATTTAAAAATATTGCCATCCAAAACACAGAGAAAAGTATGTAATTAAAAATGTGTAGTGTCACTCAGTGTTTTGTGAGGGTATCTCCTTGCCACCACACCTATAATCTGTCAGAGGAAAAAGCTATTTTAGGGATGAAATTACAAAGTTTTATGTGAAAAGAAGAAAACTAAAAAAGGTCTTTCTACTATCTCATCTAGCTCCACAGTCCAACAATCAGAATAGTAAGGTTGTAAATTTAACGGTCATTTAACGTACCTTAAATTTCTTGCACATTTACATACTCCTTACAACTAGCAGTAAGAAACATCAGGGGATAAAAATTATCCATAAATTTTAGATTTGGAGTTTTAAAAGCTATTTATTTCACATTAAAATGTAAACAGCTGAGGGTATTGATATCAGTTACTGATATTTTTTTCCAGTCCCAAATCAATATTTTAAGAAATTAAATTTATAAAGTTCTGTTACATTCAAGTCTCCTTTGAGGCCACTACAAAATTTAGCTACACAAATCCTCTTGATTATAAAAGATGACGTAAAATGTGAGGTTTATATTGCATTATTAACAAGCACATGTCCTTGTTTCCTGGGAAAACATGGCAATTTCTGCTCCTCTAAGTGGCTGCTTTGACTTAAGTGTTGGGCCTAATGTCCAAGGGAATTAAAAAATTATCAAGTGAGATCAAACTAGTGAGTCAATTGACACAAGGTTTTGCCATCTACATAAGACTTGTCATAAAAAACACCACGGAGAGCTATGGAATATCCAGCTCCCAGATAAATTCTGGGCAACACATTTTTTTGTTTAATATGATTGAGAATGTTTTCAATATCTATATAAATCTCAAATTGTATTTGAAGTGTTATCAGCACTCAAAGAGTCAATTTTATGCATTAATTATCTGTGATTATTTTAATATTTTAACATGCTTTACAAAAAAAACCCACCTTTTTTTTTTTAAAGACTGCCAACTCCAATTTATTGCTGCTGGCAGAATATGCAGTAGAAATTTTTAACTTACTTTCTACTGATTTTATTCTACATGCTTGTATCAAGCCACAGGCTGTCTGGCAACTTACCAAATAGTTCCTTTATATCAATCAGTTCTCACACAGAAGTCCGCAAATTTTAATATTTCATTAAGAATTTCTTTTTCCACAACATTTTTAAAAATACTAACTCGCACATCATCATCATAACGCCCAGCATCAACCTTTTGCACTAGAAAAAATTGCCATTTATCTCTATAGGGTTTTTTCTGATTCTAAAGTACTTCTTATACAGGATAAGGCCTCACCTGTCACTATTTTCTTTTCCTGACAGACTCTTTCAATAATTTTTTTTAATATCTAAATCAATTGTTTTGTTTTATCCACTGTTGGCTGTCACCTCTCACATGTTTCAGAGCATTATTTTCCATATTTGCTAATTCTTTTGAGAGGGAAGCAAAGCTCAGTGCAATTTTCAGTCAGTTCAAGCCCTTCTTAAACTATCTAATGACATTTACTCTAAGGTAATTCCCTTTTAAATTGTGCGTTTCTGCTGGAAAATGAGTTAGTTCATTCTTAAATACCTTCGAAATTCCTTGACCAATATTATCTAGTTTATGGGATTATCTGCATTTAGTTTCTTACCTTCCTATCACCATTTCCTGCTTTTTCAACACCTTGGCTTCCAGCATAGCTTTGTCTGACACCTGGCACAAATAAAATTAGGTATCTCTACATTTCCTGTGATGCATCAGTTTGCAGTGTTTTTACCCTCTTTAGAGGAGTCCTCATTGTGCTGCCACTGAAGTTAACACAAAAAGCTCTGTAGGTTTCAATAGTACAGAATCTAGTCCTTGCTCTTCTAACTTTCTAGAGGCTGAATATGGTCCTCTAATTGGACAAAGAATGTACATCTGCATTCTTCTACTCTATGTCTCCCGTTTCAAAGTCTTTGAACATTTACTTTTATTGTACCTCTCTTAATTAACATGACATACTATCTGGCTTTCTTTAGGCCTTCTGTACGGACTTTTCCTCACCTTAGTTTCATCTTGACTAGGTTTTTCCACCTTGACATTTGATCAAATAGGTGTATTTTGTTCTCTTCTATAGCCTGTTCTCATTTATATACGTGTAGTTCTTTTAAGTCTGTTATACTTTAAAGGATAAATTTTAATGAAAAAGAAATTTCTGTGCAATGGGAAATGTTTTAGAAAACATTGGTAAGATTTAATGTCTATATAGCCCCTATATTTGGTGCAGATATTTTAATTTCTTTTTTATTATCTTCCCCATTTCTGAGGCATTCAGAAACACTACCACTTACGTTACAGTGCTGGGATTTGGTATGATTTCTCCACCAAAGATAATAATTTCAATATGCTTCCTGTTGTTTAGTGTATCAGTTACAGTTATTTCTTCAGCTAACACCTTTGTGTTACTTAGGAGTAAAGGATAGCCTTTCCACTCAGGTGCTCTGAAAAATAATTTTCAGTTCATATCAAGCATATGCTTATATAAACCATGTAGTGCTCTAAAAACTGTCCTATACATGAACAATATTTGAAATTACTGTTTTATTAGAATTAATCATCTCTGATCTCTTTCAGTAGTACATACCCCATATTCTTCTGACGGCAAGTAGTGAACTTTCAAGCACATTTCTATTGTCATGACTTTGTATTACCTGTACAACTTCTCCCACTGAATTCTTTAAGCATACCACTGCTCTCTAAGCAAAGATTTCAAAACTATTAAAAAAGCAGAAAAAAGTATATTTCAGCTTCCTTATGGACATTTACCCAATTTGCATAGACTAAATTTTACTTATTACAAGTTATGAATGCTATCATTCTATACCAATTAATACATATATTTCAGTTCTGGGTTGAGGCAAATATAGAAGTCTGATTTTTCTAAACAATTTAAACATATTTGTTAAAATAATGTCCCAAAGGAGACCAGTTACATGCATAAAACAAATGTACGTATCATTCTACTGAAGTTAATCTTATTTTTCCATTTGGTTTCAGTTTAGGTTCATTCATTACCAGAGTCCTTCTAGTTCATTTCTGGTTCAGGCTCAGCAAAACTTGAAAAAAACTACTGAAGTTCAAAGTCAAGTTTGGGTTTGGTTAACTCCACAAGTAGAATTACATGCAAGATGAGTGCAAGCAAAATATGTACCCTTTTAGTCTAGTTCTTTGTGATAAATTCAGAAGTAAACAATATATTTATTTAATTTTATTCTTGTGGCTGCATGCATCACTGCATGGACCAACAACAGTACCAATTACAGGAGTTAAGTAATAGAAAGCTATCATATCAAAGTAGCCACTACTTTTTAAAAATAATTCAGATCTCTCAAATAAAAGTATGTTAAAAAAACCCAACCCTTCCAAAACAAACAAAACTGGGGAAAAAAAAAGGGGGGGGGAATAAAAGAACTACTTTAAGAGAGAGAAATATTCAGTATGATTTTGTCATTAAAATGCATATACAAAGAGAGTACCAGAGGATTGCAGCATAACCTTAATGTTGTAATTACCTCACAAGTGATTCTTTATCTCTGGAATCTAACACCTCCAAATTCCTAAAAGATGAAGAAAGCAACAAAAATACCTCCCAAATTCCGCTACATGGCAGAGTAGTGGTACCCACACACATCATCACAAACCACTGCTACTCAGACTGCCTCAGAGCAATACAAGCTGTCACCATGTGCCTGGGCTTGCCCTCACAGAGAGTAAGCCCCACGTTTTGACCCAGGTGCCACAGGTCACGGTTGTTGACCCGGGTGTGGTGACAGGTGAGCTGACTTCCCACCTCCAGACTGTGGGCACCAATATTCTCTTGAGAAGCCCCCTACCCCCTTTTCCCTTTTCGTTACTTCTGCACTTCCAGCCTGGAGTGTGGCGGGGGGCAAATTTTCTGAAGGACCTCCCGTTGGCCAAACAAAGCCTAAGATTTTCAGTCTCATCATTTGTCCAAATTTGGAGTGGATTTTTCAAGTGGACAGAAGCAGCATACTCCTGACAATGAGAGGACTCGGTGCCAAAATTCAAGCCTTTGCTCTGAAGCTTGAACTATTTAAGTAATTTCTCTGAAATCTTCCAAAATAATTCAGTATAAGGTGGATACTCAGCAAAGAAAATTTGTAACTTGGGTCACTCAGAAGAGATCACTTCCTATAAGTGGTTCTAGTAAGGCCTGTAACTAGTGACATAACAGAAACAAATAATACAAGAGATGATCACTTGGTGACTCATGATATCCTCTCCAAGAGTTAGATTTGACTCTGATAAACCTTTATTTTTTGGGATCTTGGGATAAAAATGGTTAAAAGGGGAAGGGACAATCACAAGAAATTAACAGTAAAACTCAGTGTCCTGTCAGATTTTGGCAAACTGAATTGAATTGTTGGTATATGTCTAGGGCATCTCTCAGCGTTACAACTAGTATTAGCTCTGTCCAGACATTTAGAAACACTGATGTCCACATCTGCCAATCCCTTTCTTTTAGCCAACAGCCTCCCTAGTCCATCAGAACATACCTTCATACCTTGCATCTGAGGTCATGGTCACGAAGGAGACATCCAATGCTGGCAAAAAGAACTGCACTAAGAGTGTTGAACTGTCAATATAGAGACCATATTTGGACACCTCACTCGTTGGGAGCCAGGGTGCTCCAGAGCAGTTTGTTTGTGATGATCTGTGTTGCTAGGCAGATGGGCAGCTACAGCTTGTACCAACAGGAGTTTTTTCTGGACATAAGACTTCAGTTCCTAGAAACGAGTAACTGAAGTACCTTTAAAAAGGTTTCCTAGGAATGATAAACACTTAATTGTGAAAGTGACAGCAGAAAAATCTACACACTCAGAAGGCAACTGTACTTGCTAGGCTAGTATTTTTTTCTTCCAAGTTCTCCTTTGTTGGGGTAGAATATAAAAATGAAAAAAATTCCCTCTTTACCTGCCTCATAGTAACTAATAACAGTAACTAGCTATACAAGGCATTGTACTAATATTCATTAATCAAAGTTAAGTGCTCTTTTCTCCTTACACTGACCACTTTGATTCTCTTCTCTGAAACAAACAGTGCAGAATGTGGGATGATTTAGATATCTCACTTCTTAAGACAAAGGATGCTCGTCATTACAAGAGCATGCACTGGTTTTTGCCAAGCTTTCTGTAAGCATTCAAACAGTGAGGGGGCAGAGCGATGAGGTGGTCTTCAGTACTGGAGTGTGTGTAGGGGTGAAGAGGAATGGGGCAGAACCATCTTCTTGGCTTCACATAGCTGAAAGGACTGAATGCAGGCTTGGAGTGCGCAGACCACTTCACATAAGCTGTGAGTGCTTCCCTCCTGTCGCTTCTAGAGCCCTTCCACGCTCAGGAATGGTCTATCTGAACGCTGTTGCTAGGGCATGGTACTCCCACCACTGATAGTTAAAAAAAAAAAAATAAAAATACAGCCCCTCTGTGAAGCTTAAGAAAATGTATCTTTAGATTGATACTTCTAAATACCAATCTTTAAAAAACTCAGTTATTTATACTAGGCAATGCAATTAAAATACAGAGAACTTCAGAGTCGCTCAGAGGCTTACTCATTCTCTAATCTCTTCTAGATGCATTTGCATTACCTGTTTACACAGAGAACAGTAATAAAAATGGAAAGAATCAAGACTTCAGTCAAGGGAACCAGCTCTAGGAATTGGGCTTCAAAGATCCACAATGCCACCAATGAACAGTTCCCCCAGTGTAGAACTCAGGCCATCTAAAGACTTCTTGGAAGACGGCATTCCACAGGCAAATTTGTCTTTACTCCTCAGCCGTGTGCTTTATGCACTGTTGTTACAGTAGCACCAGTTTACAATGACTATGTAGCACACTTCCAGTTTTTTGTTTTTTTTTTTGTCCAGGCTTTCAGTGGTTCTGTTATTTTGATTGCTGGTACTCAAAACCCAGAAATCTATCGCAATCCCCTGCTCCCCCACTAAGCTGTAGTTCAAGAATTAAAGAACTCCCACCTTTGAAAATGAGGTAAGAATGGGGTTGGTAGACTCTGAAGCTGGCTTGTGCTTGTAACATCTCAGTGAAATAGCTGCCCTCGCTTTTTAACACCGAAAGAATAATGACTTTAGAAAAGCATTAAAATTCATTACTAGACTCATGCTTTATAGATTTCCTTTGGGACTTGAGATACCGCTGATGGAAGATTTCTGGTCCCACTGAAGTCACAGGAATTGCTTATCTGTGGTCTTCATCTGTAAGAGACTGAGGCATTTCTCTCTAAACCATAACCACACACATTAGCTGTTCACCTGCAACGTCTTCCAGACCTCTTTTTTTTTTTTCTTTAGGTTTTTAATACAGATTTTTCTCACTGTGTATTGTACAAGGCATTGCCTTCTTAAGTTTATCAAACAAGTTACAGACAACTTTGAGAACAGACGCTGGAATGTATTTTGAAATTCGATATGCTGAATCATCCGTGTAATTTTAACGGAGATAAACTCAGTCCTCGCATATACAGGTTCTTATGTCTGCACGGCCTACGGAGCACTAATCCCCTCCCGTGCCGCCAGCACTGTAAATGTAAAGGCCGCGAAGCCCGAAGCCTTTCCTTATCTCCCACCGCTCCTGCGCTAGTCAGAACGCGGCCCCCGGCCGCCACCGCGGCACAGGAGGAGGGAGAGGCC